ATACTACCCATAGGGATTTGGACTGTTCATTTGGCGTGCCTTCTGTTTGGTCTGTTTGTTGGTCGTGGGATTTTTTGTCTCTTGGAAGAAGCCAATTTATTATTGAGTATCCAGAATAGGCCCGACATATTAGAAGCGGAGTTGTACGGGGCTAATTCTCTGATGTGGTTGAGGGCTAATGGTGCCCATTGGAGGTTGCTATGTAGGACGAGTATGAGTATCCATTTAGTTTGTAAGGCCTGTATTTGTCGGGCTGGGTCGAGGAGGCCTAGCTCTCCTTTTCTCTTTGGTAGGGTTACTATTTGCCAGGCTACTTTGTGGATAAAATGCTGTTTATCAGGATTGCCGGTCCACAGGTGTGCTGCTGCCCTTTCTTATTTCCTGTTGAAAGTCAGATGTTGGAAACCAGATGGATGTGGCGTACCACATCATGGAGAATATTGAGTTGTTGAGCACCAGAACCCTACCTAGGAGGGATGTATGTGGGCCTTGCCATCTATGCATTTTGTTGATCATTGCAGTTAGTGGAGATGGTGCTGTTGTTGGATGACTGCCTTTCATGCTTAGCTGTATGCCCAGGAATCGGATCGGAGTCGCGGGATCGGACCAGTGGAAGCCTTCTGGGGTGTTTGTCATGGGTGGGGGGGCCGGTAAGACCCACCAGTCTATCGTCTTTGGCCTGTTGATTTTCATTTCGGACGCTAGCTGGAATGCTTGCATAGTTCTGGTTAGTGTCTGGAACGAGGAGTCAGAGGCTCTTATTAGTACCGCTAAATCGTCTGCGAAAAGAAAGGTGGTCGGGAGGTGTTTTAGGTTTACCCCTTTCSTACCATATATTTTSTAGTCTTTCTATYGATGTGTCTTTTCTTAGAAAGGCTGCGGTCGCTTCCATGACGAAGAGGAAAATCGGGGCTGCTAGTGGATCGCCTTGCCTCGCTGATCTCGACATTTTATAGGGGTTGGATAGGAATCCGTTGACTTGGACTATTCCCTGAGCGTCGTTGTGTAAAACTCTTACCCACTTATGAAAGTTCGGGCCTACGCCCATTTTTTCCATACATAATTGTAAGAAGTCCCAGTTAACTTGATCGTAATCCTTCTCAAAATCGAAGAAAAGGATGGTGGCTGTGAGTTTTTCTTTATTATTATTATTCTAGTTGCTTCGGTTATGTTCATTACGTTGTCCAAGATGAGCCTGCCTACAGTCTTCCCCCGAACAAAACGCACGTATGTACTATTCAACTTTCCCCAGAAAAGTCGATTTCTTGAAGTGGCCCCCCGAAATCCAAATAGTATACACGTTCAAATAGTACGCACGTATGTTCTGCTCGAATAGAACGCACGTGTGTTCTATTCGAACACACGAGTGTTCTATCCAAACAGAACATACAGAATGTCGTGCTCATTTTCAAAAACGCATGCCCTGCAGTGCTCCTCCTGCTCTCTCTCTCTCTCTCTCTCTCTCTCTCTCTCTCTCTCTCTCTCTCTCTCTCTCTCTGTGTCTGTGGCGCATGTGGCCGTCTGCAGTGCCACACTCATATTCAGAGTGCTGTGCCCCCTCTCTCTCTCGCTCGCTGGGCCAAGATGGGGATCCAAGACTGCATGACTGTTCAAATGTAACTCTCAGCAAGTAGCGTGGCCGACTTTTTGATTGGTACGTACGGTTGGGCCCTTGCTCCACTGCTCTCCACATGCACAATAGACAAAAAAAAAGTGGTGATGCATGTGTCCATTTTCTGGCAAAAGATTCATTAAGATTTTTTTTTTTTTTTTTACGTTTTTAATACTCGGTGCGTAGTGGAGAGAGAGCCCTGGTATCGGGCTCTGTGTTTTCTTTTTTGTTTTTTTTTTCCCGCTTTCGACCATTTCTCGATTCATGCAAACTTGCAAAGGTATCGATATATACTGGATTTTTTCGGGGGGGGGCTTTTCCGAAGTTAGTGCCTAAAATCTGTAGCATTACGCACGTGCGTTGTATACGAATACAACGCACCCCGTGCATTGTATTCATATACAACGCACGTGCGTTTTGTTCGGGGGAAGACTGTAGGCTTAGTTTTAGCTCTCCTCCAAAATTGTTTCAAACACACAGCGGATTTAGCCGCATCAGTGTTGACGAATCCTATTTTTATTGCTCCAACCAATGCTTTTAAGCGAGACATCGAGAGGTGTCATGATGCTCCTACTCTGATGTCAATCCCTTGGGCTATGTGTGCGGGTAAGATTGGGGTATTAACTGCACGATTTTCAAAATTCACATGGAAGAACGAACCATTTATGCCAGAAGCACAAAACGGAACACAGGCAACTAATTCAATAAGAAGCACGATAAGTCCTCCACACACTACTTTACAGATGAGTAGCCTACCAGGTAGCTTAGAGGCTTGATGTGAGGATGACAGGCTATTGGGGGGAAAAATTTACAGAAATCCTTTCAATGGATTGCTCTGATATTCCATGTTATTGGACAGACTCTGAGAGGGATCTTTTGCACTGGTTTCCAGGATTAGATGACCTGGCTGATGGCCTGCATAGCGGTGCGATCTTGAGGCCCTGTCCAATCATCCAATTTTGTTTTGTAGAAAATGCATCTTTGAAGTCTTAAGATTGTGCGAGGATCTGAACCATCGGGCCGGTAGGACTGCGGACCGCCTGGATTGTCGCGCGATCTTAAAGTCTTAAGATCATGTGACAATCCGAACCGTCGGGCCGGCAGGACAACAGATGGCCCAAATTGCCCAATTCTCATGTTAGCGATTTCTCTGAGTGTAGGGATCACAGTTTGTTTTGTTTGTTCGGTCTGTAATGACCCGTCATAACACAGACTGAGAACACTGCTGATTTCTGAGGTTCTGTTGATGGAATGGATGCATTGCTGAGATTCCCACCTTCTGCTGTGTTTTCTAAGTCTGTCTGTGTGTGCGTGCTTGTGACCTGCGTGCCTGTCTGAGTGCTTGTCGGTATGAGTGTGTGTGTGACCCGCAAGGGTACTTGCTTGTTTGGCAGGCCCGTAGGGCCGGTACTTACCTGTGGCCGTGGCTTTGAGGGTTGTAGCAGGGAAAAACACTCAAGTGGCGAAGCTAGCGGCCCCGCGGCCCTTGGG